AAAAGGCAATTGGATCCTTATCATTCATTTGGATGGAGGTAAAACATTAATTCTAAATGTTAAAAAATATGATAAGATTTTTTTTTAAAAAAAATATACAATTGAAACTTCAAGAAAGAAAATGGATTAGCCCGAATTCCTGGAGAGTGAATTAAAATTAACCTTAATGAAAACAAGAATAAATTTGGAAGGACGAAATCCTAATTGCTCTTTATAATTATATTGAGCTATAAAAAATCACAGGATCATGTTATCTATCTTTAATTTACTGTTAAAATTCATTATCCATATATTTATTATTATTATTATTATTATTGCAAAAGTAAATTTACCCTCATCTTTTCATTCAAATCTAATTATTGGTATCACCTCAATTTTAATGAACTATTTTAAATAACAACAGTTAATGTATGCGAGGTCAACGGTTCGGATTAAATAAAAAACAATTGAACATAAAAAGTGAATGCTAAAGTATTTCTAATGTGTTTTTCAGTACCAAGAAAATTTTTAATTATTAACTCAAAATCAGCTAAATTGATCAACTTTAAAATATTTAGATTGAAATTCATAGTTAGGGTTTCAAATTAAATCATGTTTCAAATTAAACCATGTGTGGATAAGTTAATGTTATTTGATTGATTTAACGGATCTAAAAATAATTTAAATAATTAATAAAATCATGGGTTGATTTAAAATATATTTTAAATTTTTTTATAATACTTAAAATAAAATAAATTGAATTGATCTATGTTAATCTGTCAAACATATTACACAGGTTATAAATTCAAATAAATTTAATAATTTTATTTTTTAAATTATTTTTATATCTAAGTACATAGTAACAAATATAGATAATAACAGTGAACCAACTCACTTAAATTAAAAAAATCACAATTGATTGTAATTGTTTTTAATATTATAAAAATATTTTTATTATTTTATTTGAGAACAAAGTAAAAATTAAATGAAATTTAATAAAATAATATCTAAAATACATTCTTGATTAAGTGAAGAATTCTAAAAAATAATATATAATATATTGTAAATTAATTAATCTTTAAGAAATTACTTTTTGGGAAAAACAATAAAAAAAACCTTATAAAAAATGCTGACTTCTAGGCATTCTACAACCCATTTCATCTATTTTTTGAATTTAAACCATTAAAAAAATATTTTAAAGATCTCAATAAATTTATTTTTAATTTTTAATTAATTTTTTATTTATTTAAAACTAAAAAATCAATCCAAATTTAAAAAATTTCCCAAGACTTGATTTATCTTTTTTTTGCAATATAAGAAGAACCTAAATAGAACTTTACTCATCAAATAAAATATATTGAAACTAAGAATAATTAATTTTACCACCGTAAACAAGCTATTTGTCAACTCTCTCTCTTTCCCTCCTTCATCGTAATCTAGGAACTTATGTTCTTCTCTGAAATTCAAGGACTAAATCGTGAGTAAAATAAAGTTTTAAATTAAATAGTTTAATTTTCAAACTAAAAGGATCAAAGAAAAAATCTGAAGAAATCCCGGAGCACAAAGGTGCTAACACGTTATTTTTTAAGACCTTCCATGTTTCTTTGTTGTAATTTTGATCTCCACATTTTAAATCTTTCTCAAACAATAAAATTCAATTTTTTTTTCATGAAATTAATAGCAAACCCAACAGTGGAAGGTTTTTTCTTTTTTTTAGATCTAGTCACATAGAAAAGAGATAGAAACAAATTATCAACCTAAAATTCAATCAATACAATATAGAAAAATCAAATTCACAAAAAAAAAAACTTGATGCTCAAAGGAAAAAAAAAAAAACTAGAGTTGACATTATATTTTTTTTAAATAAAATGCTTGCCATTTTTTCTTTGTTTTAATTTTGGTTGCCTCTTTTTTAATTTCTTACAAAAAAATAAATTTAAATTATTTTTAGTGAAATCAAACTCCAACTTGATATTGGGATGCTTTTTTAAAACTATGATAATCACATAAAAAATAAAGAAAAATAAAATACCAACCCCACATCTAAATAAATACATCAATGAATAATAAAATAAAAAAAATAAAAAAATTAATAATAAAAAGTAGTAATAAAATAATAATAAATGAAACACCATGTGAATCACTTCGAAATAAGACAGTCTCTTTATGTTTTTGTTAATAATTATACAAATTGTTATAATTTTTAAAACCTAGCAAAACATGATATCATCAAGTTTCCTGTTATAAAAATTGTAAAAAGACATTACTATTATTTATATTTTATTTAATAAGAACTCATCGATGACATTGCCATTCATTGATGGCTTACATATACTTTATCTTTATAAAAAAATAATACATTAAATATTTATTTTTAAAAGGGTGGAAGTAATTATATATATTGTTAATGTTTAGGTTTAATATGTAAATTCTTTTTTTTTATTTGAGGGATATCGTCGAGTTAATCAGTATTAAACCTTTTTTATATTAAAAAACCTCCCTATAGTACATTAAAAAGAAATTTACTCGCATATTTTGCATTACTCGTGATAAAAAATAGTCCTTCTATTTAACTCTATTAACTCTAGTCTTAACTAGATATTTGATCCACAATTTGTTATGGCTTATATTTTTTTTAAATAAAAATTTATATATTCAACATGTTTTTGTAGTTAAAAAAATTTAGTGAAAAAAAAAATATACATCTATGTAATCAAATAAATCAAAAAATATGTGTTAATAAATAAAGCAAAACCCATAAGCGATAACTAAAAATAAATAAATAAATTTAAAAATAAATATAAATCAAAATATTTAATTTCACATAACATTTACCTAATTATGTTTGCTAAATTTATTTATTAAAATAATTTTTTTATTTAAGCAAATAATTATATAAAAAGAGATACAATTAAATTGATTAAATAAAATAATTAGAAAAAACACTATAAAAAACTGCATATATTAAAAATATTATTTAAAAATAATTATTTTTATATTTTCAATATTATTTAGAATCAGTAATATTAAGACAGTAGCCTTCCTGTACTAGCCTTCTCCTTCTTACTAATTCTTCCTTTCGGTCATTACCACCTAAAAAAGAATTAAAATTAAAACAAAGAAAGAGTTAGATATAAAAAAAAAAAACATGAAAGTAAAAATAATTATTTGTATGTTTTTCTTTGTTTTGCAGGTGATGGTGTATAATATCGATAATATAAATCTAAAAAAATAAAAATAAAATATTCAATTTATCTGTTTTTGTTTCATTGACAATAACGTGTAAGATCCGCACGTCATCATTATTCTTGTAAATTTAAAGGTTTTTGTACAATTTTGAATTCTTGCAACTTCCCTAGATTATTTCATGAATTTTATGATATCTATTTTATAGATATTTTATGTGTGTTTAATTTTTAAATTTTGATTTTGTATTGTATATAATCATGTAATTGTGGGGTATGTGAGTACAACATAGTAATAAAGAAGAATGTGGGTTGTATTTTTATTTATTTATTAATTTGTGTTAATAAATTATAAAAAACATAAAAAGATAAAAAAAATATAATTTAATTAACTTAAATGTTTTAATTGCATTAAACCAGATTTTAAAAACTTTTCATGCATACTTTCTAAAAAAATAAAATAGATTTTTATCATATTTTAAAAATATAAAATAGATATCATAGCTTTTTTAGTAATATGGTTTTGTATTTGAACCCCTTATCCTACAATTCGACCCTCGCTCCAAAAAAATATTCAATTGAGTTGGAATTTGGGTTTAAAAGAACTCAATTATATAAAATAAAATCTTTAAGAACTAAATCTATTTTTTTTAAAATGAATTATTGAAATTCATAATAATAATGAATAGGGGAAATTGCTACAGGAAAACCTCTAGTTTTTTTTGTTTTAACTACTAGTTATTTGATCTGTGGTCTATTATATCCCAAATATTTTTTTTTTATAAAAACATTATATATAAAAAAATTTTTGAGAAATTTTTGTGCATAAAAAGATTTAAGGGTAAACTAAAAAGCTCATGCATACATATAATTAAATAAATTGAGAATTACGTGTGTTAATATACATAAAAAAATTATTAACAATAACTAAAAATAAAATTAGATAAATTAAGAGATAAATATAAATCAAGATTTTTAATCTTGTAAGATAAGATATTAAATTAATTCGATATTAAAAATGACACACATTAAATTGATTAAATAAAATAAAAGTTAAAAAATATCATGTAAGACTGCATTTATTAAAAAAATTATCTGAAAATAAATATTTTTTATTTTCATAAATAAAATTCTTTTGTAATAAAGATAAAAGCATTTATAAATGATCCAGAATAATCTTTTTAAAAAGTAAATATACACAACACCATAAAAAAATAATTTTTATTTGAAAAAGTTAAATAAGCAAAAAACAAAACCATAAATGACATATATTAATCAAAACATAAATTTAAAAATTACTTTTAAAAAAATATCAGTTAAAAAAAGTAATATATAAAAAAAATCCAGATATAATGATTTAATTCGTCAAATTTATGACTTAGAATATGAATTTAATCGGATTTAATAATATTTTTCTTTTAAATTTATATTTAATCTAAAAAATAAAAAAATTTAGACACGGGAGTTTGTGGCCTAACTTGTATGGCCATTGCAATAAAGAGTGAGAGTGTAGGTGGAATTGGATATAAAAAGTGATTTTTTTTTTAAATTTAAAGAGATTTAAATTATATAAATAGTATTATATTTAAAAATTAAGAATCTAAATATATTTTTCATACAATTTTTAATATTGCGGCATCTTTTTCGTTTCAAGCTTTTTATTTCAATTTAATCATTAACTAAAAAATAAAAAATAAATGGTTTTCAATCAAATGAAATCGTGCAAAATAAAACTTAAAGATCAAAGTAAATTATTAAAAAATAAATAGAAATCCACGGTGTCAAGTGAGTGTGCAAACAACGCCCCTTTGCCTGTAGTATTCTGTAATAATAATAATTCAAGAAATTTATCCAGAGATAGAGGTATTAACCCACAAAAACTCTCCCCGAAGTCCGAAATCAGAGGCGCACAAGGACTGAACTTATAAAAACCCAGAACCCCAACAGTAAACCAGGAAAAAAGCAGAAATGGAAACCGGTCAGCCAAGCGGGACTCTCTCCGGAGAAGATCTTGCCTCTCTGTCATCAACCCCGGCAACCACCATCTCACGGTGGTCCTACGCTGTCTCACGGCGGTACCAACACTTTCTTGACAAAACGGTCCCTCACATCCTCTACCGTTGGATCTCCTGCTTAGTCGTAGTATTGATCTATGCAATCCGCGTCTACCTTGTTCAAGGCTTCTACATAGTCACATACGGTCTTGGTATTTATTTGCTTAATCTCTTGATTGGATTTTTGTCGCCCCAAATTGACCCTGAGATCCATGACGGCCCCACTCTTCCTACTCGCGGATCCGATGAGTTTCGTCCCTTCGTTCGCCGGTTGCCCGAATTCAAGTTCTGGTAAGGCAGCATCCAATTCGTTATTTTGTTTTGACTTTTTCATTTTGACCGTTTCTAGGGTCTCTTGATTTGTAGTGAAATTGCTTTTTTCTTTTTATGAGAAATGTTAAATAATTGGATAATTTATTTTTTTGGGTAGTGTTTAACGAAAGCGGAAGGTTCATGTGGGATGGAATTACTGAATTTGATTGGAATTATGAATGTAGGTATTCAATTACGAAGGCGTGTTGTATTGCCTTTGTAATGACATTTTTCTTCGTGTTTGATGTGCCGGTGTTTTGGCCGATATTACTTATTTACTGGGTCATGCTATTCCTTCTTACTATGAGGAGACAGATTTCCCATATGATCAAGTATAGATATGTTCCATTCTCTACTGGTAAACAGGTATCATTGTACCTGACATCCTGTTTTATTTATTTATTTTTAATTTTTTTGCGGCAGTGATTGTTTGGTTTTAATTCTGGTTATTTGCTCATGTTTATCAGCGATATGATGGAAAGAGGGGACCTTCCACCGAAACTGCTGATCTATCTAAGGAATGAATTTAATAGGTAGTCTGAAACGAACGTGTGCATGTTTGTTATTTGTTTTGTTAAAGTTGTTTGAGTACACGCAGTCTGATTGCTTTTGGCTATTTTATGTTGACAGGCTGAGAGTTTTGAAGGCTATGGTGGTTGTAGAATTGTTTTGAAGACCAATTTTGGTTCATTCAATGATTGTTTGTTCTTACTAAGACTCAGCTAGCTGGCCTGTGGAAAGCCAAGTGGTTCATGATGCTCTTTTTTCATGAGGATTACTTTTGTATAGAAGGGGGCATGCCGCATTTCTTTTGCTAAATTATTACTTTACTGACTTGTAGTCTACTGAGGGACATGCCAGTCGGTGCATTAGGATTATGCTTAGTCTAGTTATAAATTGTTCGTTTCTCATCAATTGAAAATGCCATTTTTCACCCAGTGATGCCTTTTTACCTGAGATAATTGCTATTTTTCATGTTCTTCTGAATCATACCTTTCTATACTAATGATGCTGCAAGGGTGCATGTTTATACTAGTTTCAATGGACCTTGTAAAATCCTTGTATTGGGATTGGAGTTGATGCTGTCAGTGGTTTGAGCATGCACAAACTTCCGAGTTTTGGCAGGTGGTTTCCACGTTCAGGTACTTTTAGAGAAGCTTGCTTGAATGTAACCTGTAACCTGTGTACTTGCTGGCCATTGGTGACGCAGATTGAGAACATAGTATAACATATTGCTAAAGAATAATGCTAATTTATCATGGAAGTGTCAGAGCGAATAGCACTTGGCTGGAGACATGGCAGAGCTTGAATTGAGCACAACTTTGTGATTTCATTTGTGCTATTTGTGATCAAACATTTGTGACAAATATAGCCTTTTTCATTGCAAAGTAGATGTTAAAGCAAGAACAGACCAGATTGTTAGGCTGCCTATTTTACTTGGTACTCTGATTAATCATCTAATTTAAGTGTTGGTGCAGATGTAGTTCTCTCAATGGATACAACTTCATTACAAGTACAGTAACCGATTACCAGATATAACATGCCTTGATTCATTCTCATCGGGGTGTTGCAAGGAGTTCATTTTAGACAACAGGTGTTCTACAAACTCCACGGTTTGAGCATGAGCAGTTTATATTTCCCTTTTTTCGGTATGATGTGCTTAATTGACTCTTACATGTACTGGTCTCATGATATCAAACGCAAACATTGGCATCCTGCTAGATCTGCGCATCCTTCATAAAAGCACCACTTGCCATTTGAAATCATAGGACCAAGGAAATAGTGGTGATGTCATTTGGAGCAATCATAGACGTTTTTCATTGAAATATAGCATAAAGTACGGTTGTCCTTGGCCATTGTTAGATTTGGGTTTTATAAGTTTATCATTAGTGCCCGCATTACAATTCTGCGGAAATTTAGCATTCAACTAATATACCGAGTTGAAGGCTATTTGGCAATTAGGAATCGTACTTTTGAAGTTGAACGCTTCTGTGGTAATCTCCCAACAAGCATCCAGAGCTATGACCGAAGTGCATTACCGTCGTGTAGGTGGGAGCCTAAATCTTTCCCTTGAGTTGTGGATTTCATCGGATTGTCTTCTGGACACGATGCTAGAGAGTAAATCTGTCAGTCAAGCTGGGGGGGTTAAGATATTGTACAGAAAAACCCCTTTTCCTTGTCTGAAAACCTTGATTCAGATTACTGCAACTCAAGAAAAATAATAATAATAAAAAGAATCAAGAAATCATCATTAAAATCATGATATTGGTCTGTTATAAGCATAAACTCCGTTGAAGGTCTGAGCCAAGTAGTAACAGCACGACAGCAGCAAACAATGAGACGATCGCCCAGGGATTACTGAAATAATTATGTTTCAGACTTGCTTGCCAAGTGTTCCACTTGTTGTAATATTGGTGTACATCCTCGGGCAATCGGGAGAGGTAACTGTCATTTATGTCGGAAACCACCTCTTGACAGAATTGGTTAAAGAGGTGTGCAGCATCAGCGTAACTGCCAAGCCAATGCTTAATTATGGAGGTATGCTATATCCTCAGGGCAGCTAATCAAGTTGTCCATGAAGATCACATACGAGGTAATTTCATTGCCGCAGTCAATATGGCGCTGCTCTAATGCAATAAGATTGAGGAAAAGTGATTTAGTACCATCATGAATCAAGAAACGAGGAACTCGGAGAATCAATCAGTCTTCCGTTTCCTGAGCTTGATACCAGCCCCTCTGATCCCTGTGACAAAATGGATTAATTGCTGGCGTTGCTTATCAGCAACCCGATTAGCTTTTGACCACCTCCTGATCCAATTTCTGGGCACAGGTTTAGGCTCTGCTCGCAACACTCTTCTCAGAAAAACATCAAGCCAATGCAGGCCTCCTTGATCAGACAAGGGATCAAAAGTCGTGGCATGTCCCAAAGAGGACTCCAATCTGTTCCTATCACTTTTAGTCAGCGGCACATCTGTTGGCATCAATAGATCGAAGAATATGAGTGCGCGATGGGCTTCCAATCCTTTCTGATCAGGATTATCAAACTTAAGTTCCAGTAGTCGATCAAGTACGAAGAGTGGAAGCTGGTTCTCTAGCATTATCATGTCTCTCTGAATAGAATGCATCGAACCACGCATTGCAAAAACAGGATCATTTCTAGGATAGCCAAGTTTCTTGAATCCCTCAGCAACACCTCGAAATAGTTCAAGCACAAAGCAACCATCGAGAACCATCATCCCTTCATAGCATGACGGAACTTTCTCTTAAAAGTTCTCTAATTGAATCAAGATAGAGCTATATATCCTGACTAGTACGCTTGAGGATATGATGAAGGGAACGCCATTGATGTCGATCCAAGCATAGGCTTTTCTTGCCATGGTGGTAAGGCACCAAGGAGACGATCTGGGGGGCATGAGCCTTCTCATCGCCCTCTCGGAGGTAGTGGGGGACTCGTTAGATGGACAGCTTCGACCCACGAACCTGCCGCGTCATCTTGTCTCAACAACAAAGGTAGAATGACAGCCATACACTATTTGTAAGGAAAAAAAATCTCTCGATTTCTACAACCTTATCCACAATCAGTGCTGTTTATTTACGCGACTGCAGCTGCATTTTAAAATTTAATTTGTAATTGTTTGATTAAAAAAAAATCAGTTTATTGTATATGAAATAAAAAGCAGATAAATATTTTCATTCATTGTACACGTTAATTACACTCTTTAGTAAACAATGCAATTAACATAAATAGTGTAATTCACTGCCTTGTTCATGTAACAGTGCAATTCACTTGCACTGTTTATAGACATTAATATTTTTTACTTTTATTAATATTTTTTTAAGTGTT